AGAGGGGAAGAGAGAGAGTGGGAGAGAGAGAGAGAGAGAGGGAGAGAGAGGGAGAGAGAGGGAGAGAAAGAGAGAGAGGCAGAGAGAGAGAAAGAGAGGGAGAGAGAGAAGGAAGAGGGAGAAATAGCGAGAGAGAGAATGGGAGAGAGAGAGAGGGAGGAGAGAGAGAGAGAGAGAAAGAGAGGGAGAGATAGAGAGAAAGAGAGGGAGAGAGAGAGAGAGGGAGAGTGAGAGGGGGAAAGAGAGAGAGAGAGAGAGAGAGAGAAGGAGAGAGTACAAGAGACAGAGAGAGAAAGAGCGAGAGATAAAGTAGGGGGTGGAGGAGGTAGATAAAATGAAGAAGAAAGATGGAAAGTGAGTGAAAGAGAAAGAACAAGAAAAAAATAATTATATTATAGGTAAATATATGTATTAAAAAAATGAATCACATGTTTTTAACACAATGAACAATAGGATTTTAACGCACCTGGAACCCAACACAAAGTCATTTGTTTGCAAGGTAATCTGATAATCATACTATTATCAACATGTTGGGGCCTACCATAATTATCTCTGTACATCTAGGGCGCAATTCGCATCCTTATATAAAAGAGATAAAGCAGCCCATAAGCATTAGTTGTACTTAACGACGGCGATACCAACAGTTAAACAGGAGGCATTAGGTATGATCTTATTGACTTCACATATTTATCGTCACTCTCTACACTGATTAAATTACCCTTACCAATGTGTGGTTCACTGTTGGGATCGTGCATCTAATAAAAAGAACCCGAAAAAGGTATACTAAATCAAACTTAGATTTGCATTATCGATAAGGTGCCATACCATACATCATACTATAACATATTGTACAAAAATATACCATACCGCGTTATACCCTTACAAAACTTACTTAAAAAACGGTACTATAATATGAATATACTATTGGACGGTAAACCATAACAGAGCAGTCCATGTACGAGGACACCGTACAGTACCATACCATACCAAATCTCTTCCAAGGAACACAGTTCACCATGTGTGGTTGGAGGTTGCCACTGGTAGGAGCTACTTGTACTTTAAAAAATTCCCTGCGTGCGTTGCTTCTTTCTTTCTAAATGACGATTGTCGTGTCCTTGTGTTTCTCTTTACTCAGACAAACAAACAAACTGATACGAGTGGGTGGTTGGCGGGTGCTCTGGTGTGGCTTGCTTCTTCTTTCCTATCAAACATCTATCGTCCTTATCTCCCCTTCTTCTTTTTTATGTTTGTTACTCTCTTATAACACGTTTAATCTTCTGGCGCTCATATGACCTTATGCAGTTGCGAGCGCCGTAAAACCTCTACTAAAACAAACAAACTGATACGACCATTACGTTCCTTTTATTTCACTGGATATGATATAGTCATTATTTTATTGAGCTTGAGTGCTATCGGCTGGTGGTTAGTGGATACTTTGATGTGGTTTGCTCCTTTTCTAGCTTACATCTATCGTCCTAATCGCTCCTTCATTTTTGTTTTTGTTACTTTCTTGTAACAGCTCTAATCTTCGGCACTTATACGACCTTATTGTGTTGTAAGTGCCGTAAAACTCTTACTAAAAGTAAAGAACTAAACAAAATGCGTGCATACCGTACGGAGAAAGTTACAGCGTACGCTGATTGCAAACACGTCCGTTAGCTGATGAGATTGCCCGGGACTGTGGTGTAGTGGTTAGGCACTCTGCAGCAACACACAGCATATTTAATGTATGCAGCGCGGTGGAATCAGGCTCTCGTCAAAATAATCAAAGTGAAGAAACGTAGGTCTTTCCGCAGGTTTGTGAATTTTTATCCATTTTTGGGGGGGGCTCAACACCTTTCATGCACATTAAAGAACTCATTTCAGAGTGGATTTTTCTGACAAATGTTGATTAAAGGCACACACAAAAATTTGTAAATTTTCAGTTATTACAGACTCTTAAGCTAAGGAAATAACTAATCTTTGGCGACCATTTTCTCACTAATTTTACCTCTGAAAACAGGTGACCCCCACCTCCTTCATTCGCACATATCTCAACTTGTATTTCACCCAAAAAAAGACAAGTAAACAAACTTTAAGGTGATACCAAGAACTCCACATGCCCAAAAATTGACGAGAGCCTGATTCCACCACGATGCCTCCATTCCCGTTTGAGGAGGTTGTTTCTCGAGTGTCTCCGTATGTCTAGAGGAATTGTGCACCCTTTTTAACCTCGCTTAGCCCTGACAGCAATGTCTAAGCGCAGAAGCCCGCGTTTCAATTACTTTAAATTGTGTGTCTAAGATTGGTTAAAACATCTAAAATTGCATCTGCAGCTCAGATTGATAGATAATTTGTTGCGGGTAGCCAGCAGTATTTGCTCGCGATAACCACTTGACAATAAATCCCTCTCGTTGTTTGTATGACTCCTCAATGATATTATCTGTGAGAGCTGACGTAAGTCTTATTACAATAGTCGAAAAGCTAGAATGGTATAGGTATAGACATTAAGTTGTTTTAGGCTATACTTTGTAAAGAGACGTAAAATATATTTTATGTGATAAAAAAGATCTTCTTCTTCTTCTTCTTCTTCTTCTTCTTCTTCTTCTTCTTCTTCTTCTTC